GATTCGCCTAGGTGTGAACCTAGCCTGAGCGATTTGTAGCGCTAATTCAGCTCAAATATCGCTTAAAAAATCGCTCAATATAGCTCAATGTAGCTCGTCCGATGCTTTTCAATGGAGCTGTTCACATCTCACAGCTCAATGTCGCCTGTAGCTTGCAGCGCAAGCTTGTCGCTCGAAAATGACCTATTTTTCCAGCGGATTTTGTGTGATTTGGCCCCAATAGGCTTTGATAGACTGCCAAAAGAAGCGCTACATAGTGTGACAAAATGTGCACTATATCGCAATGTCGCTCAGCTCAAATCAGCGCTGAAAAAGCGGTGATGTAGCTCAGTGTGAATGGGGTCTCATACAATCCCTCAGTTGACTGTATCTAAGGCTATCCATTGGACATCCACTTCTGTTGCTAGGCTTGTTCCTGACATGCAACAGTATAGTCCCTGAACCTACTATTGGAATTCTAGCAATGGGCTATATATGCCTGGGATGGGGATTACTATCAAGAGGAATGGAGATTAGCACTGATTTAGGCTGAGGCCGAGATCCAGTAGACAGCCAAGGTCTGCACTCCAGGAGCTCAGGGACACAGGGATTGCTTTGAAGATCATGAAAGGTATATGGGGGTACCTAACGGTGTCCGCCCTTTAGCAGTTTTATTAGCTAGGACAATTTTTAGGATTTTTACCAGGTTCAATTCAAAGTTGTACTGTTTACTTTATTTTTTTTTAACTTGGCAGTGTGCCCTAGTGGTGACTGCCGATGATCCAGTGTGGAAAAATGCCAGTCACCGCACGCAGTGTGAACGAGCCCTAGGAAAGGCAGTGACGCAATTACAGACACAGGGCTAAAATTGTAGGAAATCAGTTGCAAGCTGCAAAGAGAAATTTGTTTTTAGTTTATAAAAAATCATCCTGGCTGCAGATTGAAATGACAAGTTCATTTTTAACAACTCTAGATCAGTGTTTCTCAACCTTTATTTACTCACAGCACCCCTAAAAAGTATGCAAAATCTCAAGACACCCCAGTCTAAAATTTAAAAAGCATTATTGTAAAAAAGATGCGTGGTTTCCCACCAAAATCCATACCAGACTCTTGTCCTAGAAAGGGGTCTGTTGTGGATTTTAGGCTGGGACCATAAAAAATAAACATGTGGGGTTCCCCTTCACATCCTTCCTTCAAATCAGAAGCTCCCTTCACATAAGAATCCCCTTTGACATCAGAAACTCCTCATTCAACATCAAAGCCCCCCCCCTTTCACATCAGGAGCCCCCTTTACATCATAGCCCACCCTTTGACATCAGAGTCTCCTTTAACATTAGAGTCCTCGGTCCCCTCTTCACATCAGAGCCCAATATCATGTCAATGCCCCCCTTCACATTAAGAGGCTCCCTTTCAATCAAAAGCCCCCCCCCCCCCCATTCACATCAGGAGCCCCTCTCATGGCAGAGTCACCCCTTCAAATTAATAAGCCCCATCACATCAGGAGCCCCCTTCATGTCAGAGTTTCCCCTTCACATTAGAAGGCCCTGTTCATATTACCGTTAACATTAGGAGGCCTCTTCACATCAGAAGCCCCCCCCTTCACATCAGGAGCCCCCTTAATGTCCCCCCTTCACATTAGGAGGCCCCTTCATATCACAGACCTCGTGATCTTCACCACAGTGCATTTGCGGCAGTATGCCAGAGGGCGGGAGGTGGAGTAGGTCTGGACGGCGGTGGACTTCCGTCCTCTTCTGAATGCTGGGGGTGATCCTGGAAGCGCCCACCTAGGATTGGCATCATGTATAAACATTTGAAGGCACCCCTGACAAAGCCAAAGCGCGATGCCGTGACACCCTGTTCCAGAAAAGCTGCTCTAGATTATAAAACGGCTTGTGGAAAAACATTTTCAGTTATATAAATGTGTAATAAAATTGGACTTTTCCTTTCATCTTCATGGAAAATGTCATCCAGTTTACCATTATGCCATTAAAGAGAAAAAACAACAGCAATTATGAAGTTGACGACATATAGACCTTACAAAGAGTACCACTAGACGTCCTTTAAAACTCTCCGAGCAAAATGCAGCTGCAGCAGCATCCTTCTGGAATGAGGGCTGTTGGAAGAATGCGTTCTTTCTGAAGCCAGAGGGAACGGCGCCACGAGCAACACAAACTATTTAATAGGAAGTAAAGAGACAGCTGGCAGAACACAAAGAGTATAAAGACAAAATAAAAAGTGCGCTGGGAGTGAGCAGTCGGGCACAATAAGGAGTAAATAGGGGAATGCAACATGCAAGAGCATGGCAACAATGAAGCTATCATCCAGTGAGGGCGTATGGAGAAGGATTTGCAGGAATCTGAGGTCTGCAGACTCTTCTGGTTCAAAGGACAGGAACGCCATGTAATGTCTGGCACTGGGCAGCAGCAACATCCTGGCTGAATTTAGATTTCTTATACAAGGATCAAGGAGCTTTTTAAAGTAGGGATGCACCAATGCCGGTTTTTCGGTATCGAGAACGTTTACCGATATTTTTTTATCGGTTCAGAGTGAATCTCCTTCTGACCGGAAGTTCCGGTATCGGGGTAAGTAGTATCGGCACCGTTACCAGTACCAGTGGCGTAACAATCGCCATAGCGACCCAGGCGGCCGCTATGGGGCCCGGGCACAGGGGGGCCCTGCCAGGCATCCCTCTGATGCCATGTGGGCCGCCTGGGTCGCTATGGCGTCTCGGGTGCTGGCTGTCACTGACATAGCTCAGCAGCGGCTGTGAAGGAGAACGTTCCCCCTCACAGCTGCTGCGGAGCTGTGTCAGTGACAGCCAGCAGATGCGGCAGAATAGGCCGGTTACACCGGCGTTTGCAGTAAAGAAGGAGGCGGGGCCCGCCTAACAGCAACCCCTCCTCCTTTCACATCACTGGCCAGCGATCTAAGAGCAGGTGGGGCCAGTGATGTAAGAGGAGGCGGGGCCCGTCGATAGAAGGAGGCGGAGCCCGGGGACGGAAAAGGAGGTAGGGGCTCGGCGGCGACCACGCAGGTGGACAACGCTGACAGGTAAGAGGCGTGCAGCCCAACTGGGACCTTGCAGAGCCCACCATAGAGAGTCTATGGTGGGCTCTGCAAGTGGCATAACTAGCAATCACGGGGTCCCATACAAAATTTTGCTATGGGGCCCTGTGATTTCTAGTTACGCCCCTGACCAGTGCATCCCTATTTTACAGGCATAGTCCACCTTTTGCACAAAAATAAAAATGCTAAATAATGTGCATTTTTTATTTTTGTCATGGGTACAATGCTCAAGCTCCAAGCTCCTGCAGATTGTTCCTCTAGCTCTATACCAAGTGCATGGACCTTAGGTGATGGGAGGTGTCAATGGACTACAAGTGTGGTGATGTCACCCCACTTATAGTCCATTGAGAACTACGAGGCAGTGGCAGATGGGACTGTGTCTAGTTGACACGGCTGTGCTGGTGGAGCTATGCACAGCCTGACAAATTTAAGTAAACAAGATCCTGTGGAGAGAAGCACCCCCACCTTCCCCTGATACAGTAAGGGGGGGTGAGATAGACCAGAGGTCTGTTCAGTTGCTCAGCCGATGCGAGTGCTGAGTTAGCAAACTGCCGCTGAACGCTGTGCTGCAAGTCAACGCTCAGAACTGCTAACTTAGCACATGCAGCGGAAGTGAATGTGGATGCAGAGCGCTGAATGTGATGGAGAAAGTGGGGACAGAGCACCAGTGGCCATTTTGAATGTGAGCACACCTGGCAGCGCTGGAGAAAGGTGCCTGAACCCTGATGGAGGAAATCAATTCAGTGTGGGAACCTACAATTTATTGTTTTGGTGGACGAGCACACTAAATATTCATTGGAAAATGGTATTTATTAGTCAAAAATATTATCCTCCTCCATTTTGCTTAGCACTGTGCAGCGGAAGCGTTCAGTGAAGCTGCTGCAGAACAGCTACTCAGCACTTGGCTAAGGCCTCATTTATAGAAATGGCCAGCACGTACAGCTCCGTGCACGGCCGTATCGGGCAGCTCCCAGGAAGGACAGGTGCTGCGTGTGATTAGAACGCAGCCCATCCTTCTCTATGGGAATACGCGGCCGTACACGTCCGTGCGGGTGTCTGTACTCGTACGCTGACAGGATGGATCCTGTCTGCGTCCGAGCCAGGACACCTGTACGGACGTGCACTTGGGGTGAGCATAGGGCGGCGTACGGCCGCTTAGTCCCATAAAGACAGGGGCTGCGTACTAATCACACACAGCACCTGTCCTTCCCGGGAGCTGCCCCATACGGCCGTGCACGCAGCATGGAGCTGTACGTGTCGGCCGTTTCCAGTGTGAATGAGGCCTAAGGAACTGAACACATCTCTGGGGTAGGCAAACTCTGGCCGTGCTGGAACTACAAATCTGCTTCTGGGAGTCATGCCTATGGGTGTCAGATCTTTGCAATGCCTCATGGGATTTGTAGTTGCACCACAGCTGGAGGGCCGAAGTTCAGCCACCCCTGACTAAACCCTTGCAGTGCGGGGGTAGCCCCACAAAATGACATTAAAGTCACATCCCCCTCTGCTCTGGCAGCAAGAGTTAAAAATACTCTGTCACTTTGCAGTGAATGGGCTAGGTGACATGCTCTCTAATACTACTGAGTCTTGCTCAGCTCTCCTCACATACAACCCAGCAGTCAAAATGGAATCCACTACTAAGAGCACACAGGTGCGCCCACCACAACCATCTGACACAAGCGCAGTGAGCGCTGAGCACCCTTTTACGCGCATGCGTACTATCCAACCCATCAGACATGTCAATCGGACGGGAAAAAAACACCCGTAAACAAGCCTCAGCCCCGCCCCGCATCGCCAAGGCAACCTCTAGAGGCACCTCAGCCTTGCACGGCTCTTGTTTTTACCACCGCCTCCCTCGCACCCTGTCAGTCACCCTCACGCCCACCCTATGCTCTTTCTAACCGGCTGACATCCTTTGCCATTTCCTTCCTCGCCCCGCCCCAGTTTCCCTGCCCAGTGAGAACTTGCTAGCCAATGAAAGCTTCGGCATGCCCTGATTCATTTGCATCGCTGCGCCCCTTCTTCGCTTCTTGTCAGTTAGCAACAAAATGGCCGCGACTGCCTCTCTTCTGTCTCCTATCGGCGGAACGGCTGCAGCCTTGTGAAGAGAAGCCGTGAACGACTGATATCCAGAGCGGAGAGGAAGGCTTCCTCCTCCCCCCTCCTCAGCGCCGCCGCACCCCTGAACGAGGCGAGAGCGCCCTGCCACAGCGAGCCTGGCCGTGTGTCGGGGGAGAAGCACCTACATCTCCTGTCAGTGGCCGAGCGAGCTCTGTGGGTGCGGGGAGCCCTGCGTGGTCCTGGCGCTGAACCTCCGTCACCCGGCCTCCCTGGATCCCCCCCGGGACCCTCGGAGCCCCCTCCTCCGCTTGTGGACAGACCGGCGGCCGAGTCATAGGAGGGATCCGGCGCCTTCGCTCCATACACCGAGAGACTGGGGGAGAAGAGACCAGGTACTGGGACAAGGGGGGAAAGGAGGGGTGCATGAGCCTATACATTCCCTATACATTCCCTACACACACACAGCCTGGTCATCGCCCACCTCACTGTCTGTGTCTCCTGGGGACTCTCTGACGTGTGTGTGTGAACCAGGATTCCCAGCCCCGCCCACCTGCCGTTCTTATATGGAGGTGGCCTCTCACTTGCTGTGAGCTTTTTGTTTATATATGGAGGATGTAATAGAAGTGACCCTAAAAGTGAACTCTGGGCACACATATTGAAGGCATATATTAATATTCATCACTTAAAGCTGAGCTCTGGGGATTGCACATAAAACACCCATTGTGGTGCAAGCTGCACTGCAAGGGTTAACGTGTCACTAAGTCCTCCAGAATTGGGGATGAGCTCGGGTTCTGATGGATCCTGGCAGGGAACTGTCAGTGGCTCCAGATTTTCATTCCTCACCCCCCTACTGCATTTAAACAAAGGGGTGGGATGTTGGTGACATCATTGACCATGTATGGCAAATGGCTATATTGGATCAGTAACCAAATATGGGCATATAAGGTCAGTGATGTCACCTGCATCCTGCCCCTTTGTTTACATGCCGCTGATCAGGTGACACTGACGGCTTCTTTCTGGGTTTGGACCAAATCTGAGCCAAAGCATTTCATGCATGCATGTTATAATCCACCTTTTAGGCCTGAAAATTACTTATAACCCCTAGAGCTATATATTTCTGAAAGCAGAGATCCTGTAGTGTAAAATGGTGGCGGTTGCAATTTTACGGCGCACAATTTTAGCGCAATTCTTAATCAAACCCCAAATTTCTGTAAAAAATACGCTTAAGTTATTTTAGTGCCCCAAAACGCAATATATTACCCATTTTGTGGTAAAATACAAAAGGCGAGGTTGTGCTGAATAAGTAGATACCCTACATGCCCAGGTTAGAAACTGCGTGTGCCTGTGAAACGGTGACAAAATACGGTACCCCAAATTGTCCATAGGTGACGCTTTAAACTTGTACAGGCCATCCGTTTAGAGTTAACTGTGAATGTTGGCCCGAGAATAAATGCTGTCACTCTGGCGCATGCGGTGATGTCTAACATGTGCAGCGTTATCAACATTTTTGTATGTAGGTGCAACTGACGCTTGTTTACGTTACTATATTGAGCCTGGTGAAGGGACCTTAAGTGTCCCTGAAATGTGACATGATGTCTAAGCGTCAATAAAGGCAGAATTTGCTTGTATTCCTTCAGTGACAGTTTGTTTCTGCTTTACGTTACTATGCACGTGGGGGCAGCCACTTTTAAAAAAACAAAACTTTTTTTATTCTTTACTTTTATTGTTATTTCATGTTTAGGGGCTCACAAGCCCCCTATGTGGTAGCATATTAGTGTTGACAGGTTCTCTTTAAGGTGACATTAGGGGTCTATTAGATCACTAGTGTCACCTTACCACTGCAAAGAAACTATTGGAGAGCAGGTCGGGCTTGATCAGCTTCTAGCCAGGGAATGACATTGGAGCAGCTGGAAATGATGTACTCGGCGTCGCTTCTGGTTCCATTAAGCGGGAAGGCGAACGGTGAATGGATGTTCGCCGGTCTCTTTTCTCTCTACCCGCTGACACCCGTGATGCCGGTCCTGGCCCCGCAGAGCTCTGCTGTACAGAGGTCAAATTCAGGTACTCTCGTTGCTTTTATGATGTATTAATGATTACCGAGCTGCTTTCATTGGTGCCTTTTGTATTTTCCTGGAGTTCAGCTTAAAGTGCCCCATATAATGGTTGGAAAACTAACCAGCCTGACGACCTGTAGATTCTGCTGATAATAAAGCTGACTATGTCACTGTCCTGTCCTTTGACATTGGTCAGGTAGGTGGAGGTGGCTCGATCTTCTTACCTTGTGGCTTATATGGAGGACAGTGAAGGTTTTTGTGGCGTGTGAATATTTTGACATGACTGCATTCTTTAATTTTAGGATTACGAGGGGGGGGGGGGGGTG